TAATTAATATTAAAACGTGCCAATATAGGCTAATCAGTATAAATATGACATCGGTCAAAATACAAGAACTTTCTGCTTTACTGTAATTTGTAAATTTCTGTATTACTCCGATCATGGAGAATTGCGACGATAATATTTTATGTGTTAAAATGTAGTGAATCTAACGAAAAATGCATCCTTTGTTACAAATTATCATAAACAAAGCAACCTAAACAAAAGTTAATCGCCGTATTTATTCATAATTTGGTAATCGCGCGCTACAATAAAACAGAACAATATTACAGAAAATTACAACTGACTACACAAGCGGAAGTGGGAAGCTTCTTCTTATCTTTTGACTGTAAATGTAAGAACAGTAGTAGCTCCATTTTCAGTCCATTTACGTTCAATTTAATGAACTTGCTTTGCTCTCTAGAAAACCTTTCGTTCAATAATCAGGAACGGTCGGTGCCATTAGAGAGGTTAAGATACCCCGGTCTGTAATTCGATCATTCGTTTTCTTGCAATAGACAATGATATAATGCGAAAAATGTGTACCTTAATTACGAGTAAAGGTACAGACATCGACGAAAATATTGCTAACTAAAATCATGCTACCCGTACACGTACACCGAAACCGGGGTATCTTAACCTCTCTAATGTGTAGATAGCGAACGATGACCATAGGTCTCCCGAAAAGGTTTTATATTTTTAAAAAATCCATACAAAATTGCTTTAAAATGCAATGCATGCTTTCATTGCTTTGACATGCAATGCTTCAATCTACAGTAAAATCTCTATAATTCGTATTACATGAAGTACGTGTAACACAGTGTATAGCGTTATCTCAAAAATATCCGCAAAACGTCGACGTTTCGCGCGAAGGCTCTTCGTTAGTTCGTTACTTCCCGACGAAGTGCTAGCACTCGAAACGTCGAAGTTTTGTTTATATATTTTTTAGGTAACTGTATGTCTCTCAATCCGCGCCACTCATTCGTTCATTATACGAGTTTCACGATCACGATGCTGGTCATTTTCATCAACTGTGTTTTCACATTTTTATTTGGGGTAAAAATGAATCTCTTAACCAGAAAGAGAAGGTCGAGAATAGCTCAAGGCAAAGTTAGGAACATAAGGCAGAACATTGTTACACCAAAAATCTCGATAGAAATGATGAACATTTTAGCTTAAACGCAACTGCGCATGATCGCGAAGGTCTTCTAAGAAGCTGCTGGACTGGCACATAAATATTAGCATAGTTAAACTCATAAATACGAAATATTTCAATAAAATGCTCAGGTAGATCGAACCAGGATTATTTTTAGGTGTCTGCGTTTCCAGTAGAGAAATTTAAGGTTGTCACTTATCATATTGCAAATGAAAATTGCATTTTAAAATATTCGATATTTTGTCTGAAAACGTGGCTTAAAATATAAAACACATTATGCGGACGGTTTTACCTCTTCTTTTGCAATACGCATGTCATCTTGCACATCAGTGAACACAGTAGGTTGAATGAAATATCCTTTATCTGAACTACGATCTCCTCCGCATTCCAGCTTTGCTCCTTCGTTTTTACCACTCTCAATTAAATCCATGATTTTGTGGAATTGTTCTTTATCAACCTGAAGTTGGACAAAATGAAGAACGTAAAATAACCACTAGCTTTATAAATACGCTTTCAGTGAAATTTTGTTGCAAACACTGCACTAATCTTTTTTGATACGAAGCGAAACATCAATTACTCATTTACTCTGCGCATAGATTCCTTCTTTGAAGCCGCTCAGTTATTGAATTGTATTCGGTCTAAAGCCGGTTTTCCACTAGCGAATTTTTCGCGCGAAGCGACCTTTTTCCTTTGTCGGCATCCATTTTGCCACGCCTTGCTGACGTTATAAGTGATACCCAGTGGTGATACCGACAAAGGAAAAAGGTCGCTTCGCACGAAAAAAATTCGCTAGCGGAAAACTGGCTTAAAGGCCCGTACGCTGTCAGCACTTGAAACAGTCATTTAAAAAGTCGTTTCATTCATTCTTTGCTATGAGATGGGAGCGCTCTCACATTTAGTTGGCTGGACCTATAACTTATCACTCACATCTTGGTGTTTACTGTACTACTGTACCTGTGGGCCTTGATCTGTCTTCTCATCAAAAGGATCACCAACAACTCTCGCTTGAGCTTTAGCAACACTCTTAGCAACAAACTCATCGTAAATTGATTCCTCGACAAATATTCTGCTGCCAGCAACACAACATTGACCTTGATTGAGGAACAAACCAACATGATTCATTTCAACTGCGTTATCCATATCACAATCTGCAAACACAATACTAGGACTTTTTCCACCAAGTTCCAGAGTGACGTTCTTCAAATTACTTCTACCAGCGGCTTCTTGAACTATTTTCCCCACCTGTGCAGTGTGGACATTAATGTCTTAGTGGTATTTATGTTGATTGTCTTTGGCAGTTATTGTAAAATAAAATGGAATAAATAAAATAAAACTACTCCCACCCCCCCCACCCCCTCCAAAAAAAATGCCGTTAGATATAAAAATTTACACAAATAGAAATGTAATTTCCTTGCGAGTTCCATTGCAAAACCAGAGTAGTCAAAACAGGACTGTTAAAACAGTTTACATACAGCAACCTCGTTCCCAGGCTTTTATCTCTTGTGGAAAGAGTGAAAGACCCTGGTAGGAATTGGTCACGTGACAGTGCATTTTAAGGATTCTTCAGTGGTGGGGCAAAACTGCCAGAGGGCCCATTTCCCTTGCCTTCCCCCAGCATAGTATGCGATCGCCGAAGGTGTGAGCAGAGTACCGCAGGCACGAGTTAGCTAGAGGGTTGAAACTGGGGGCATGCCCCCCAGGAAATTTTTAAAATTTGGGTCTCTGAAATAGCATTTACTGCATTCTGAGAACACATTTAAAAAAAATCTCAGCTTCTCAAAAAAAAGTTTTAATGGTGAAATTTGCAATAAATTGCATGCTTAACATTCAATCATAACATAAGTTTAAGTATGCTCACCAACAAATTTTGTTTTTTAAACTTCTTTTCAATGTTAAACTCATTTACTCAATACAAGTCCAAGGGCCCTGGCTTTGGGGCAATAAGCCATTTTTTTCTTCAGTGGTGGGGCTAAGGAAAGGGCCCAGTGGGGCAAATGCCTTGTCACGTGATCTGCTAAAATCTAGCAGATTTCTAATGAATTATCTTGTATTCCTTTAAAATAAAATCAATGATAAATATCAAATATTTATCAACATAATCATCATCAATTAAAACAGCTCCTACCACCCTACCAGGGTCTTTCCTCCACAACAGGTGGGAGGCTGGGAATGAGGTTGTATTTACAGTACAGGCAGTGACTATGGGGTTCCCAGAGATTCAGCAACAAAATGTACCCCGCTCTTTCTACTTCCCAGCTTCCACTTGGTCTACAGTCTGTTCTTTCTGCAGCCCTGTCTCCCCCCTCCACAAGTTCATGGGCGTACAGTCTGTTCGTACCTCCGTTGATCCGGTAAAAGCGACTTTATCTACCATCAAATGTTCAGAAATGGCAGCTCCAGCAGTTGGACCATAACCAGGAACAATATTAAGAACTCCAGGAGGAAATCCAGCCTAGAAAAAATCTTTATTAATTAATACAACACAAGAAGAGAGACACAGAAGACACTAATTACATGCATGAATTCTACTGTATTTATATGAATTTGAATTTACACCGAAAGAAACTTCACCCACTTTTATATGAAAACATCAGGGTGCTGTACTTAGGCCGGGTATAGCGCTATCCACCGGATAGTGATCTTTTCAACCGTTGTAAAAATGCTTGAAAAGTGAAAAAACTACGAACATGGATCCCATAATTAATATAAAAGGAAACTTAATTAGTAAGTTTAATCTGGGTTATACCAACCAACGGCTAATTCAAGAAAGCTTGAAAAAATCACTATGCAGTGGATAACGCTATCCGGCTTCCGTGCAACCGGCCCCTGTAGGAACAAATCACGATATTTACGATAACTGAGTTCAATATATTGTATAGTTGTTTCAAATTTTTCATGTCTCACTCTCATTGTCTCTCTCAAAGATTAACAAACAAGAACAATAACGAATCTTCCCAGGTCAGCCGAAAACGCCAGTAACCTAAGATCGTGATTGATCTGACAAATCACGATATTTTACGATAACTGCGTTCAATAGTTGTTTTAATTTTTCATGCCTCTCACTGCCTCGTTCAAAGATTAACAAACGAGAACAATAACGAGTCTTCCCAGGTCAGCCGAAACTGTAACAAAGCTTGTAACTTGTCTTCTATTTTGTTTCGGCAGCTTTTGTCGCGTTTTTGTTTTTTCGACATTTTTTAGTCAAGCAAACATGATAAATTGTAACCATGTTTACTTCACCAAGGTATCAAGGGCGCATGGACAAATTGATATTTTGCAACTGTAAATTGCCTTTTAAAATGTGTATGCTGAGTAGAAACTGTTCCGCTGATATTTTGCAAATGACGTATTATTAATTTGCACCAGTTAGGTCTGTTTTATACGTCGAATTTTGGTCGCATCGAATTCAACTAAGACAATAGATAATGAGATGATAAACCTCATTAAGCTTCATTATCTATTGTTTGTATTGCATTCGATGCGATCGAAATTCGACGTAGAAAACAGGCCTTATTCCCATAATTAGATGAATGATAATAAAAAGTAATAGTATATATACTGTACCTCGGCAGCTAGAGCTGCAATATAGAGTCCTGATAATGGTGTCTGTTCTGCAAGTTTCATCACAATACATGTTCCTGCAGCAAGAGCTGGACCGAGTTTCCACGCTTGCATCAATAAAGGAAAGTTCCAGGGAATAATTTGTCCAACCACACCAATTGGTTCAAGACGTGTGTATGCAAAGAAATCGCCATCTAAAATGATCGAATGGACGAAGGAAAACTGGATAATTGTGTCGTTAACATCATTCTCTATTTTCAGTCCGACCAATCAGAATAAAGTAACTTTTCGTGTCAATAATAACTGGTGTAATTAATGTACTAATTCACTAATTGGGTGTTTATCTTTGCCTCCACCTGAAATGGTCTGGGCGTAGAAAGGTGTAGAAGTTTCAAAACAACGATTCTAGGAAATATACGTATTACTATTTAGAAATCATGTAAATCTCACTTACCACATGGAATGGTTTTGCCATGTATCTTATCAGCCCAACCAGCAAAATAGCGAAAACATTTCAATACCAGATGAAGATCACCTGAATACGATTCTTTCCATGGTTTGCCATTGTCAAGACTTTCAAGACTCTGTGGAAAATACATGTAAAACGTAGTAGTAAATTAAAGAGCAATGCATAGACTCTGATAATATGTTCTTCGCACTCATATGCATAAAATGAACTTCCTAATTGGCTTTCCAACTTGGTCAAATAAATTTAGGAGTGCATGGGCCGTTGAAGAGAACGTCTTGTTCATTATAACTATATTTTCTGTCGAGTACTGTCGAGTATAGTTTCGCAAATTTTCCACTACAGTCTTTTTCAAAGCAAAAAGTCTTTTTCTTCAGGTGATTGACACGATTAGTGAGCTGCTTAAATGGTCGTGGTCCAAACGTGGGTGGGCGCCCACACGTTCTATGCATTATTTTCTTTGTTATTAATTAAGGTGGTTTATTCAAAATTTGAATGTTTTATGTATATACAGTAGGTCAAAACTGTTTCTTTTACCTCCCGTGAGAGAAATGTTTTAAGATGGACCAAGTTATTAAAACGTTTTTGTTTACTTTGTCGTAATTCCCAGATATACTTCGAAAGTTTGCATCGTTTGGGTACTTTTTGTTTTGAAAAGCTTAAAATGGTTTCGATAAGTACTTAAATGGGTGTGTAGCAGGATGATATTGAAAAATACAAACTGATAGTAAAAAGAACTTTGTTGAATTAAAAAGTATTCTCAAAGAATACGTACTGTATACTGTATATTAAATCCACGCCTTCCTGTTTGAACTGTAGTTGTTGGTATAGTCAAAAACCCGATGAAGTCTGGACAATATGTCACAAAATTTGTAATGTATCGCATTTTCTGTCATCATGCAAAGAATAGTATTTCAAAAACTCATTAATAATTCATGAAGCAATTATCCAATCTTGAGTAAGAAATTAGTCACGTGCATACGTCTTTATACCAGCTAAAGAACATTTTAACAAAAGACCATTGTTATGCAAACTATATAAAGACTTTTATATAAAGATTTTTATATAAAGATGTAATATATGAACAACGAGAGCGAGTGTTTCACCGGGATATCCAAACACGAGAATTAAAACAATGTATGAAAGCACGAGCGCGAAGCGCGAGTGTTTTCATACATTGTTTTCGAGTGTTTGGATATCCCGGTGAGACACGAGCTCGAGCCTCGAGTTGTTTATATGGCTTCTCAAATGAATCGAGACGTAACAGAATGTTTTCGTTTGCTAATTTACTCAAGAATTATTAACGAATTTGAGAATTTTATATAAAGAATTTTATATAAAGATTTGACTTATTATGCAAACGTTTTTGAAGCCATTTAAAAAACTCGCAGGTCGTGTTTTATTAGGTCTAAAGCCACTCGCGCTGCGCGCTCGTGGCTTTAAACCTAATAAAACACTCCTGCTCGTTTTTTAAATAGTACATTAAAGTGCCATAGCGTAAACCAATTTCAAAGACAAGATCTTATAATAATCCAAAATTTCTGAGTGAAAGTTTCAAGCTTCTCTACGCCTTTATATATGAAAATATATTGTATAAATTTACATTATTGTACCTATGGAGGTTTTTGTCATGAAAGTATGTCTTGATCAAAGTCTGATACTGTAGTATACATGATACATTACATTTCAGTTCATAACCCAAACGTGTAATCAAATGTACCGTACATTCAATTTAACATGCAACTATAATTGTAATAGTTAACTTACAGCTAAATATTCTCGGTCTCTCTCAATCAAATCAGCAAGACGATACAATAATTTGCCTCGATCTGATGCATTCATAGTTCTCCATGGGCTGCCAAGTTTAAACGCCTCGGTAGCTGCTTTGACTGCAAGATCAACATCAGCCTGCAGGGTAAACAATACTACAGTAATATCAAATACAAAAATAAAAACGAATGTGCAAAGACACTCAATATAAAGTGTTAATACAGTTCGATGTTGAAGTGGATACAGTAAATTGCATGTCCGAATTACTGAGGTGTCCGCTTGATAAAGCCTAAAGGGTTTGTATAAGAAAATATATGAGAGTTATAAATGTCGGAATACTGTTAATGTCCTACTAATTTAAATTTTTCGACCACCATTTAATTAAGGCATTTACATACGATATAATCAAACATTTTAGCCTAAATGCTCCAGCAAACACGAAATAGCTTATACAACAGAACTGCATGATCTGAAAACACAGGCAATTGAAATGCAGCTGATATATGCAACCACTTGTTTTAGTTGTTTGCAATGCAATATACAGTAATACAGGCACGCTCTTGCCTCAGTCACAGACAGAACTCCCATGGAAATTCCGACATGATTTCTTCTATAAATTAAATATACATGGTCACCATCCTCCTTTTAATTAAGTAATGGTATAAAACATGCATTTTTAGGTAATTTATTAACCGAACTGCCCATGCAGGGAGCACTAATCAGACTTTGGTAATGGTTTTTCAAAAATCCCTTAATTATCATTTTTAAAATAGTTCTTTCCTATAAATAACAGGCGGCAACTCTTGGTAAGGTTATAATTTTGCAGCTGGTTCTATAGTTACATAAAATTTTTGTTCCTTCAGGCAACGCGGCGAAACAGTTTATACAACAGAAATTATCTGGAAACACAAGAAAATGAAACGCATGATGCATGTCTAGTAATGACGTGCAACTCTTAATTTGGTTGCAATATCAGTATACATGCGCGCTGCAGCAACAGTCACAGAATATCCTTTCTTCATTATTTCTGTATGTCTATATGATTTGACCACTGGGCTGTACCTTGTCTCCTTCAGCAACATCGCATATTTTCTCTTCAGTAGCAGGATTGATGGTCGGAAATGTGTTTCCACTTACAGAGTCTTGAAATTGATTGTTGATAAAAATCTAAATGGTTTTGTAATAACATAAATAGAACATATGCGTCGATTGTTTATGAAAATCAATTCTTTCACTATGTGTAAATATGTTGAATTTCAGTCATTTGTCATTTCAAGCATGCTTAGCTTAGCTTCGGATATTCATTTCACTGAGACATTGACAATGTCAGACAATGACGCCAGACAATTATGCCAAGTCCAGGCTTGTAAGTCCAGGCTTGTAGTGCGTGTCATGTTAACTTACTTGGTTATATTTGATCTCGGGATTTGCATCAATTTTGAGCTGTAGAAATAGGAAAACATTTTGAAATTGATTTAGTAAATTAAGATATATCACTGACACTAATATTTGTCAAATACTGCTATAAATTTTCTACTACTTCCGGGGGCACCGCTTCTTAATTCCAGGGGATGATGATTTGGGATTCTCAGTACAGTATTGTGGGAAAGGGTTGGCATACAAATATAGTTTGTTGGATAATGAATCAACATTGAATAATTGTTTCAATGTTAGCAGGGAGGGGTGAAGAGCTTGGGCATGTGACTAGTGCCACAAACATATTTTCAAACCATACTAGTGCCAAAAATATTTTCACCATGTAATCAAAGGATGCTCTATCCCATTACACACTTTCATGTTATTAATCTTAGAAAAAGGGAAATAAATGCTTCAGGGCACTATTAAGTTGCAAAATATTCCAGGGAGGCCTGGGAGGGCATGCCCTGCACACCTAAACAACATATATACGTGCTCTGGATACAGAGTACTGGTACTAACTGTACAATTCAAATTTGTTCTACTGCTGCCAACTACTGCCAACATTAATTAAACTACTGCCAACATCAATTAAACTACTGCCAACATTAATTAAACTACTGCCAACATTAATTAAACTACTGCCAACATTAATTAAACTACTGCCAACATTAATTAAACTACTGCCAACATTAATTAAACTACTGCCAACATTAATTAAACTACTGCCAACATTAATTAAACTACTGCCAACATTAATTAAACTACTGCCAACATTAATTAAACTACTGCCAACATTAATTAAACTACTGCCAACATTAATTAAACTACTGCCAACATTAATTGGTATTGTATTGATATGTTGTTGACGTTAAAATAAAATAAGTAATAAGCGTTATTATTATATATTCAAACTTTATTCTCGTTCGTGATTGGTCAAAACGCCCCTGCTAATTCTCCGTATCTAGAGACTGACGCGTTATTTCAGCTGCTGACGTGATCAGCGTGCAATAATACTTTGTTTTGGATCAAAGTTCGATCAAAGTTGGATCAAAGTTCGATCCAAAACAAGGTATTATTGCGCGCTGACACGTCAGCAGCTGAAATAACGCGTCAGCTTCTAGCAGAGGCGTTTTGACCAATCACGAACGAGAACAAAGTTTGAATATATAATAAACAATTATTGAATGAGGTTGAGCATGATATCGACGGAATTATCAAGGCCTCGGTTTGTGTTATACACCAACCTCGTCCTTGATAATTCTCGATATCATGCTCAACCTCATTCAATAATTGTTTATTATATGGCAAGCATTTGCTTTGATGAATCGCGCAATTTGATTGGCTGCTGACGAGGCAGGATTTTCCCGTAATGCCCACGGGCAATACGCAATTTTTATTGCCCTACGAACATAGGGATCCCAATAAATATAGTTGTAACAAATAAAAAGCGTTAAATTTGTCTAATTTTGAATAAATTTACATTGTATTACCGTGCTTGGACTGTTTTCAATCTTGCGCTGTGAATTCAGTGACGTAGTAAATCGCGTATACGAAGCATATTATGATTATTCACTGGAAAAAAAATTGAAAATCCATAGAAGGTCAAAGAGTGAAAATTGTATGGACCTTTATTGGAAATAGAATGGATTTTGGTCATCCATAATAATTGTATATTTCCATAGTATGGATAAAGTATGGAAATAGTATTGATATATATATATATATATATACTATGGGTTTAGTGGTGCAATTGCAAATTTCTTAGTATGGAATCACTTTTTTTTTCCAGTGATTGAGAAGGAAGGTATTCGTACTGTCATAATGATTTGGTCGTTAAACATGAAGAATATGCCCAGACATTAAAAATGACGAGGAATTCGAAACAGAAAAAAAATGGGCTAGAAGAGAGTCAGAATGCGCATCTTCAACTAGAATGTACAACAAATTATTATATTATGAATAAAAACAAGCAACAGGCATTGTGCGGAATTGCAAACTCGTTCCCAGGCTCTAGCGTGATTAACTTCTGAAAATAATGCTCAATCGAGTAATAATGTCCAAGAAAATGTTCAACAAAGCAACCCAATAACCCTGTGGATTCAAAATGGAAAGACCCAAGATGCCGCAATTTGCTGGAGATGTCCGAGATTACGTCATTTTCGGGCCGATTTTAAACATGCTGTTTAGGTTTAGGTTTATTAAAAAATTACATCGCAGCCATAGCACATGGCTGAATTACGTAATTTACACATTTGATTATTCTATTTGATTATAATAACATATCAATAAGGATTATAGTATATATATATTCTAATATAAATAATTTAAAAATTGTAAAACGTTTCCAAACTATATACATGCCACTCTAAGACTGCCACTCGTTTCGGTTGCAGAAGACAGTACATAAGTGTTTAAAAATCTGTTTGTATTCGCGTTGGTATCATAAACCACGATGGTTTCTCCAATTACAATGATGCTGGACCATTCTTGTTGGAAGTAGATGATGAAGTTTATGATCCGGGTTACTCTCGATGCTCTTAAACAGTTTAAGACAAGCTTCCTCTCGTCTAGCGTGGATAGTTTGTAAATTGCATGCCTTAAGCAGTCCGTGTAGTCACAACCAGGGTAGATAATAGAAAGTACTCTTTGTTGCACTCGTTCGATAACATCGCTAAGGTAATTAGCCAGTGCATAATGAAAGACCTGAGTACTATATTCAAGCCGGCGGGTCTTACACAGGTGCAATAAAAGAGCAGTATTTCTGACGGTGGGATTTTTGCTCGTTTAAGTTGGATGATGAAATAAATCCGCTTGTTGGCCTTCTTAGCGATCGAACGAAGTCTTCGGCAATTTTAGATAGAGTAGAGGTTAATGATATAGGTCTCAGATGTTGATTGATATCAGCAACCGGTTCCTCTTTAGGGATGGGGATGATATTTGCTCGTTTCCAAGCCAATGGTAATTTTTGTTCGTTATATATGAGACATTTAGCAAAGTTGAAATGGGTGAGGCCAATATATCTGAATACTCTTTCAAAACCCAGTTCGCTATACCGTCAGGCCATGGAGCCTTGCCAGAGTTCAATGATTTTAATTTACTGTACAGTTTCCGGCGAGGTCATATTCATATCAACATGCGAGACGTCTTCCGAAGTATCTATTAACATCTGCAGGTCAAGATCATTAAGGGGGCGATACTCCTTCATTGGATCCAGGAAGCTATCGTCAATTGTATTTGCAATATCAGATGGAAACATTTGGTCAAGATTGTCAATTTGCAAATGTGAAACCAAGCTGTCGAGACCAGGGGGTGAAGTCGCCCCACATATGCCCTTGACTTTTTCCCACCATTCTTTGGGTTTAGTTTGTTTAATTAAGATGGCTAACTTTACAAGTGTAGTAGTTGATGCGACATCTTTTCCTCATTTTGTTCACTTTATTACGATAGAATTTAAAGGCTGTATTATTGCCAGTTGAGAAAGCTTGCTGCCGTTTTTTTACCATACACTTGAAATCCTCGGTAATCCACGGGGGACCGTTATGGTGAAATTTGATCATCTTTTCTGGCATGAGGTTCAATCCCGTAGATATGACATCAGTAAATACTTTATTTTTCCCTTCACATGTGTCATCTAAGTCTAGAATACTCCAGTCAACTTTGTTTAGATATCTGCCAAGTTCCATCTGCCAAGTTAGTTACTACAAGATCGAGGGTGGCTGCCCCGCGGGTTGGAGCGTTTATCAGCTGTTTAATTAAATCTAAACTGGCGACAGAAGTACAGTACTTTATATTCAAATTGTTAAAATCGCCTGCAATTATGATTCCACACCCTGGAAACCTCCCTTCCACTTCACTGACTGATCTTGTTAGGTACTGTAACATATCTTTGTTGTTTGAACTTGGAGGATGATAAACTGTTGCAACGACCAGACAGTGGAAACTACGGGGGAGGCGACTAGGCCTTGTATGAACCCATAAAACTTCAAAGTTGTCATCTTCCAAATCAGTTAAATGGTTAAATTTGATGTTGTTGGTCATATAGAGGCAAACACCTCCATGTGAGTTATCAATGCGATCTCGTCTTAGTATATTGTAATTGTGCATTGTAATTTGATTATCCCCAATTGTGTTCCTCATCCACGTCTCCGTTAGAAATATTAAATCTGGATTTATATGTGACGTCAAAAGTCGAATTTCGTCAATTTCAGGCACGAGAGACCTCACATTGGAGAGGATAATTCTTGGGACATTTTCATACTTTCTCATTGTTGGAGGTTTAGGTAGTGCATGCCTTTGGTTTAATATTTATAGGAGTGCCTTTGGTTTAATATTTATTAAGTTACTTCTATATGTACGACTAGAGTTCTGGTAAGGTGGAATTCTCGAACGATTAGCACAGCGTGAAGTTACAACAGGAATGTTATACTGACTATTGCACCCGTTATTAGCTGATATATTGATAGGGCGGTTTATGATCTCATTCTGCGATAGACAGAGTTTAGGTAATTGAAATTTGTTCGGTGAGGCACTCGCGTTTGGTGGGGTTAGAAATGATTGGATTCGAGGTACAGTAAAAGAGATGCGATGTCCTTGCTATACGAACGAGCCTTAGCGGAAGAACCTTGGAGCTGATAAAAGGAATTGGTAGCGACTACGATGCTGCATGGGACCACCTAGATTCGATATACGGAGACCCTAGATTTGTCGTAGACACCGTCACCCATGACATTTCAAAATTCAAACCACTTCGTGAAGATGAAGACTCAAGATTTGTGACTTAACCCAACTGGTTAGAAGAAGCTACAACACGGTCAAGGAAGTCAACAGACAGTTTGACATCTATAACAATCACATGATAGCAATAATTGAACAAAAATTGCACATGAACGACAGGAAGATCTGGTCGCGCCATTTGGAAAGCAGTGGAAAAGAAGCTACGTTAGAAAATCTAATGAGGGCTACAGCGCCTTTTTGAAGTATGTAATCCAGGCATCCGGTTGGAAGTTTCAATGCTGATATTTCTGGAAGTAACCCTAAGTGCTGGGTCTGCAAGAGTTCCAGCCATTTCGTTGATCAGTGCAGAACGTTTGCCGCCATGAACCCTGGTGAACGATTACAAGCTGTTAAGGACAATCGTGCCTGTTATAGTTGTCTCAAGCGTGCAGGTAGAGACCACAGATCATCAAATTGTTCCAGAAGACGTCAGTGCCAAGTGAAAGTGAACGGTAACCAGTGTAAATACTACCATCATCACCTACTCCATGAAGATAACCCAAATCCTGCTGCAAAGATTGGAACATTTACAACAGACAAAATTGTTAAAATATTCCTATTCAGATTAGTTTAATTAAAACGTCAGTCGCCAAAGATTTAAAGCTAAAGGGAAAGGACGTTGTTGTGACTCTTATAAAAGTAGGATGTCAAGAAGAGGAATTACACATCAAAGTATATCGTGTTACGGTTCAGTCGCTAGAAAATCAGTCATGTCACACAATTGAAGCCATTGCAATTCCCTCTGATAATGATGAAATTTCCTTTGTCAAAATAGATGAGCTAACCACAAAGTTTGGATTATCAAGAGGTGACATTGGAAGAGGAACTGGTGATACGGATCCATACTGGAGAAACGAAAAAAGCAGGAAATCTTGTGGCACGCCGTTCCCCTCGAGGTTGGGTGATCCTTGGTGCTACAGCAACTCGAAACCAGTCAACAACTTGAAACCAGCAGAGTAAATCACATGAAGTTCGCGACACCCGTAGACATGACCGAGTTTTGGTCCACCGAGTCAATGGGAGTGTCTGTTAAGCCATGCTTTTGTGAACTGGAAAAGCTAAGTCCTATCGAAAGAAAAGAAGCGAAAGTGATCGAGGATTCTTGTGAAAAGTTAAACGGACAGTGGCTTATATCGTATCCATGGAAAAGAGATCCATACGAATTACCAGATAAACAGAGAGCAAGCGGAAAAGAAGTTGGAGGCGACAGAGCGACGACTTTTGAAGAATCAAGAACATGCAACCGCACATGATAAAGAGATGGTCGACATGAATAAACTTGGTTTCTCGAGAAAATTATCAGAAGAAGAGCTTTACCAGTACAACGGCCTGGTGCATTATGTGTCACATCACGAAGTTCTACGACCCAAAACAAAAGTACTCCTCTACGGATTGTTTTTAATTCATCTGCAGTTTATCAAGGACATAAGATGAAGGGACCCGATCTTTTGAACGACCTCTTTGGTGTCTTACTCCGTTTTCGTGAAAGTCAAACTGCTGTTTTAGGGGACATTCCGAAAATGTACCACCGTAACTTAATACCGGAAGTTGATCAGCAAGTCCATAGATTTTTCTGGAGAAATTTGGAAACTGAACGTGATCCCGGCACCTATGTGAAAACGGTTTTGACGTTTGGCGATAAGCCTACCCCAGTCATGGCGCAAATAGCACTGAGAAAGACCGCAGAAGAATCAGAAGAAGTGTACCCGAAAGCTGCGAAGGTTTGAAGGAGAACACGTATGTGGACGATATTTGTGATTCTTTGGAAACAAATGAGGAGGCTCGGCAGCTTACCCGTGATGTAGACGAGGTTTTGACGAAAGGTGGATTTGCAGTGAAAGAGTGGATATCAAATTGTAATCTGGGTGAAGAAAACCAATCATCGGAGAAACACGATGTGAAGTCTGATGGAGAGAAAAGTCCGACAGGAAAAGTTTTTGGACTTGAATGGGACCACCAAAATGATAAGCTAAAGCTCCACACAAGAGAAATCCAGAACGCCAGTACGAAGCCAAAAAAGCTGATAAAGCGGTTGGTCATTAGTCGAATCGAACGTGTTTTTGATCCCATTGGATTAGCTTCAGCTTTTCTTATCCGTGCCAAGATTGGCATGCAACATCTGTGGAAGAAAGGACTTGATTGGGATGACGAACTTCCCTTTGATTTACAAGAGTTCAGGAATAATCTGTTTCACGAACTGTCAGGTCTGAGTAGCCTATGCTTTGAAAGATGTCTTACACCATTGAATGCAATTGAACAACCCGTTTTACGCACGTTTTTGGATGCTTCCGTGGAAGCTTTTGGTGCCTGTTCGTATATACGATGGAAATTAGCTGATGGAGGTTTTGGCGTACGGTTCATCGCAGCAAAGTCCAAGGTATCCCCATTAAAGCAACTAACGATTCCACGTTTAGAGTTACAAGGAGCAGTCCTTGCCTCTCGATTGAGTAAATCCATTTTGGAGGAAACTCGGTTGAAATTCGAAAGAAGTCTTCAGTTCTCGATAGTCAGATTGTTCTTGCATGGATTCGCGGTGAAACTAGAAGATTTAAACCGTTCGTTTCAATTCGAGTGAGCGAGATTCAAAACATTTCCGACCCAGCCACCTGGAGATACTTACTTGGAGAATACATTGTTGCCGACGAGGTGTCTCGTGGGATTCCTGCGCAAAGTCTGACAGAGAGATGGCAACGAGGTCTAGAATTTCTTCTTTTATGGCCAGCGGTTCATCAACTGTTAATAAAGATGAAGTTGAACAGGAAATTCGAAAGAGTCAGAAGACTTTACTCAGAAAGTGTGTACTGTGAAGGAAACTACGGCTTCCCCGATCGATTGTACGAGATTTTCGAACTGGAGATGACTGGTGCGAGTAACAATAAAAGCCCTTCAGGGTTTCTTGAAGACTCCTAGCCCTATAATCAATTCTTCTAATATGTAAATAGTTGTTTTGTTGGCAAATTATGGGCAAATAAAGTTAATAATACCATAACAGCGTATTTTTCATCCGATTCTACTGGAATTTGAAAGAAAACGTGTGAAGAAAACGAAAGCAGAAAACCCAGATAACCAAAGAAGTATAGTTGTCTGCAGGGCCGTAGGAAGCTCTTTTCGATTGGGGGGGCTGAAAGCGAGGGCCGAAGGCCCGAGGAAATTTTTAAATTTAGAGTCTCTAAAATGCCATTTCCTGGACTTTGGGGGAAGAGTTAACAGAATTCTGATAGTCAAAAAACAGCGTTTTAATATGTCGAAATTTACAGAAAAGTATAGGCCAGACTGTAGTATTATAAATGCGCGGCGGGAATTTTCATCGTAAATGGCAGTTGCGCGGAAATGAAGGCAGAACATTTGAGAAAATTTCGAAAATCTGGAGTCTCTAGATGGTCTGAAATGGCATTTTCAGAGTTTTCTTTCGCAAGACCCAACACGCAAAAGACAAAATAAATCATTAGTTCATCAAAAATGTACAGATTTTGTGGGATTTTCTTGAAAATGCGCGACAGAAATTCAGCTAAAATTTCTACGCGAGGAACGATCTGGAGTATGAGTAATATCTTCATTCTTTGCAGTTTGTCACAGATTAAATGATAAAGTTTGCATGATTTTGAAAAAAGAATGATTATTAGCAAATTATTAGGGGGGAGCTGCAGCCCCCCCAGCCCCCTCGGTTGCTACGGCCCTG